GGGGTCATTAATTGGGACATCCAAAGAAGACGTGGGTAGATGTGAGAAGACACACTAGAGGGAAAAAACAAAAATGCATAATTAGCCTTCATTATTTCTTAGTATAGGCTGCCGATAAACCTTTAAAAACACGTTTTTAAATAAAGGAGAACTTTTTACTTTTTTGAGTCAGACATTTTGAGCTGATCAAACTAAAATAGTTTCCATTTGTCTGTACAGGGAAAGTGTGAGGCATCTTGAGGAAATCAGGTGCTCCGTAAAATAATAAAGTCAAAGAAACCGTTATCCTTTTCCACCTGTTGGGCATGGCAATTTTTATCAAAATAATTTTCTTTTTTGGCTCAATACCTTTTACGTCTATCAAACTAACACACATTACGGTGTGAAATTACTGAAAAACGCTGATCAAAGGCACGAAAAAAAAAGTAAAGTGTCCCTCACGATTTGGAAGTCATCAAACTTTGGCAGCCGTTTTCTCGCTTATTTGATCTCCGACACCAGGCGACCCCCACCTCCTAATTTAAGTCGCAAATATCTCTACTTCTATTCATGAGAAATGCGTATTTTTAAAAATCAAAATCAAAACAAATGAACCAATTGAATTAGATTTAAGATAAAACCAATAAATGTATGCATGTATATGCCCATAAATTGACGAGCGCCTGATTTGACCCGCGTCGTGACTCAGTATTATCTTTATTATTACCCCAAATAGTTGTCTCCAAAAATATCTTTCCTAGCCTAACCCTGCCCAGTGACAGAAATATGCAATGTTTGACCCATTAGAAGAGACATGTGCATAACCTGTGCTATCTTATTATCGAAATTGTATTTAATAACACAACACAAATTTAAAATGTCGTTAATCTGTATGTCATTTATGATTTAAGCTCTTGTCATGGAAGTCTTTTCAGTAAAATCTCTGGAGCCCTTCAAAGACTGTTCAACAAAGCTTCTGGCATTATCTCTCCTCCCCCCACCCCCCCGAAAAAAAAAAAGAAACTTCATTTATTAACGCAACACGAATCTAAAATGTTGATAATCTGTATGTCATTTAATATGATTTATGGTGTTGTCGTGGATCTCTTCTGTAAAACGTGTGTTTAATGTTAAGTGGGCCAATGACCTTAGACACTGAATAAATACTTACCGTAGCCACATATCATCTAAGTCACGACTCCTCCGTGGGGCAAAGTCTCCTTTTTATACCTTACTGACTGAGGTTAATTACAATTATTAATATTAGGGTAGCCTACATACAGCAAGTGCCTTTCTCTAACAGTGTTATTTGGAGATAAAAAATTTCGATTTTTAAAATACGCATCACAATGTTTTTAATAGTGTGGTCCATATCTTCACACACACACAGACACACACACACACACACACACACACACACACACACACACACACACACACA